ATCATATTATTTTAATTAGCCGTAGTGTTATGAAAAGATTGCCTAGGCAAGAAGTAAAGCGAGGCGAGGTTGTCTCGCCTTGAACAACTAAGACGAAGCGATAAAAAAACGAGTACCTCTCGCTTCAATGAAAGGCGAGAAAGCGAGCGCCTTAGTTAAGCGAGGCGAGATTGTCTTGGATTGTTTTATTTTTATTATAGACCGTTGGATTGGGGCAATTAGAAAAAAAATTATGAGATGCCCATACACCCAATTGTCCCCTTATCCCAATATATACAACACTCAAATCCTAATTTTGCTCAAAGGGTCAGACGACGACTTCTGCTGCTGCTACTCATTCCTTGTTGGTCGACGACTGCTACTGTTGCTCCTCCTTCCTCGCTGGTCCACACACAGGTTTGTCTCCTTTTTTTCTTTTCTCTTTTGTTTCTCTTCTTCTTTATTTCTCCTTTTTTTTCTTTTAATTTTTTTTCTTTTTCTAGGTCCACAGCTTTGCATCTGCTGCTGTCTTCTTTGACAGAAAAAAACTACACACAGGTACTGTTTCTACTGCTGTTTCTCCTACTTCTACTTCGACAATAGAGGTACGTTTTCTTCTCTCCACTCTTCTCTTCTTCTGTTGGTTCTGGTTCTTCTTCTTTGCTTCTTCTTCTTCTCTTTTTCTGCTTCTAGTTTTGTTTCTCTGTTTCTGTTTCTCTTTTTCTCTTTTTCTGCTTCTGATTCTGCTTTTTTTCTTTTTCTGATTCTGATTCTGCTTTTGTTTCTCTCAATTTGATGCTGAGATTTTCTATAAACGCTTATTTTGCTATTTTTTTTGTATTTTCTACTTCTGTTTTTTTTTTCTGCTCTGCTTCTGCTTTTTTTTTTTCTTCTTTTCTTGATTTTCTAATGTTTATATTTTTTTTCTGCTTTTGTTTCTATTTTTTTTTTTTGCTTTTGCTTATGTTATTTTTTTCTGCTTCTGATTTTGTATAGCTGATTTTCTCTGGTTCTGATTTTCTCTGTAAGTAGATTGTTTTGCGTCTCTGCTTCTTTTTCTGTCTCTCTTTCTTCTCCTCTTTTACTTCTGGTTTTGCTTCTCTTCTTCTGCTTCTGGTTTTGCTTCTCTGTTTCTACTTTTGGTTTTTTTATTTGTAATCTTGAATGCTGATTCCCTTTTTTTCTGCTTCTGCTTCTTCTTCTCTGCTTCCTCTTTTGCGGTTGATTCTGATTTTCTGTAATTCTGATTTTGCTGATAGAGAAGCATTGAATAAATGTTTAATTGCTTGAATTGTGTGTGTTATATTTTTAAATATTAGGATTTGAGATATTATTAGTGTTTGTTTGAATTTAAATATTTAAGCTATGACTGTTATTAAACTTTGAGATATTATTAGTGTTTGTTTTAATTTAAATGTTTATGGTTTTGTTTGCATTTAAATATATAGTATTTATAAAATTAAAACATAGAAGTTTAGAAGTAATTAAACTAAAATATTTACTTTTTTTAAATGTCGTTTCGCTTTAGTAAAGCTTTTCACTTCGTTTCTCGCCTAGGCTTTAGGAGCCTTAGTCGCTTCGGTTCGCTTTACGCCTTAAATGACACTGATTAGCTGTATTCTTGCCATACCTGTGTTATATATTTAGAATTTATCGTATTCTTAGGTCTGTATCGTATCGGATACGACACCTGTGTTCGTACCGTGCATCCTTGGCCACAGCCAAGGCTTCTACACAACAGAAAAAAACTACCACACACCACAGATGGTCATAGGTCCCCTCTAGAAGATCCTCCAAGCTTAGTCGCACCCTTCTGTGGCAGTAGAAAGCACTACGAGGAGTTGGGTTGTATAGAGTAGGCAGATTGAAGAAATTAACTCTAATTTTCCACAAAAAATCATTCAAAAATAGAGAACTGTATCCAGATGACCTCAAAAAATTGAACAAAAATCACCATAAAATTGAGCACTCTGAGTCGAGCTTGGGCTAGAGTTCTGGTCGCTAGATGATGATGACTTCATGCTGATGTTAGCATGAAGTCATCGTTGATTTGCTAATGTTAGCAATTGGATCTGTGTTTCTTTTTTCTAAGTATTCTAATATATTTTTAATAATTATTTATCTTAGATTAATACTTTCATACCAAGTTAGAATTATAAAAGAGATACTAGGGTTTGTAAGAAGAAGAGACAAGAGGAAGAGAAAGAAGAATAGTAGGAATTGGCTATATTGCCCTACATCCTCTTATTTATATTGAACAATATTTTGGGCAATTACAATATTATCTCATAGTAGCTTATAAATATAAAACATAAAAAATAAGAACTCTAACAGATATCTTTCATGCTCAATTTGCATATATCTGAATAAAAAATTCTCCTCCTAAGTCCTTAAGTAAATACATTGACTAATTGTTCTTTGGATGTCTTAAAGGGCATACAAATCTACTCGATATTGAGCTTCTCTTAAATGAAGTGCTTGTCAATCTCACTATGCTTTGTTATGTCATGTTGAACCGGGTTATGAGCAATGTTTATATCAATCTTATTATCACTATACAGGAACATAGGTTCAACCTTTGAGAAACCCAAGTCTTCCATTAAGGTTTTCAACCACAAGCTCATAAATACTATGAGCCATAGCGCTATAGTATGTCTTTGCACTAGATCTGGCCACTACGGCTTGCTTCTTGTTTCGTCAAGTAACTAGATTTCCTCCTACAAGGATACAATAACTTGTAGTGGATCTCCTATTATCAATTGAGCCTGCCTAATCTTCAGTTGTGAAAGCTTCTAATCTCAAATGACACTGGTTCGAGAATAATATTCCTTTACCGATGATTTAAGATATCTCAGTACATGATGAATTACCTTTTGATGAGGGACTCGAGTGGCATGCATAAATTGACTAACAACACCCACTGCATATGCTATGTTTGGGTGAATGTGAGCAAGATATACGAGTCTCACAACAAGCCCTGATATCTTTCTGTATCAACTTGATGACCTTCATTACTTCTTCGTCTGTGGTTTGTCTCAATAGGTGAGTTTGTAAGTCTACAACTTAGCAAGTTGGTTTCCATCAGAAGATCAAGGATATACTTCTTCTGTGAGATGAAAATGCATTTATTTGATCTAGACACTTCTATCACTAAGAAATAACATAAATGCCCCAAATCTTTAATTTAATTCTTTAGCAAGAGGAATTTTTAATTTGGACACTTCCTCTGCAATATTACGTGTAAGTATTATGTCATCAACATATACCGTAAGAACTGAGATCTTGTCACTCCCTTGTTTGATGATTATATGTGATCTGCATGACTTTGTTTGTACCCAAGTAGTCTAGATGACTGCTTTAGTCCATAAAGGAATTTATTTGACTTACATACTTTTCCCTCCGTAGCTAAAGAAGAAAAGTAGGAGGAATATCCGTGTACACTTCTTCATCCAAGTCCAAGAAATACATTCTTTACATTTAGTTGCTTTAGATTCCATTCCAGATTGACAAGAAAGGGCACAAATGATATTTATCTTAGCTATAGGGGCAAATGCTTCCTAATAGTCTATGTCATATGTTTGAGGAAACCCCTTAGCTACTAGTCTTGCTTTGTATCTATCAACTGTACCATTTGCATTTTGCTTGATAGTAAACAGTCACTTACAGCCTACTGATTCCTTCTCGACTGGGAGATACATATGTTCTCAAGTTTCATTCTTTCTCAAAGCTATCATATCTTCTACCATGATTGTTTTCCATTTGGGTTTTGCAAGAGCTTTATTCCAATTGAAGAAGATAAAGAGTCATAAGAAACAAACTTAGAAATATGATGTTGGGTAAAAGTCCAAACTCCTTTTCAAATAGCAATATGTAAAAAACTATCATCAACAAGATTACTACAAGGAGGCTTATTACTTGACTCATTACTTGATGTGGAGGAAGAGATTCTAGGAACTGAGTTGGGAGATGATGACTGACTTGATGGTTCATGGGTGGTGATTTGCTTATTTTGACATCGAGTATATCATTACAAGTCATCCCTATCTAATATTTCACAAATAGTTTGCTCCCACCGGATAGGTGTTTCTGCTTGAGGCTCCCCCTCACTAGATTTCTCTCCTTGACTCATGTACTAGTTGGGAGGTAGGAGAAAGAATCCATCCTTTTGCATCTCTTCTTCAATACACTGCTCTCCATAAAGAGATGGAGGAGTGGAAAACTAAGGTGATTGTTGTTCTCTCAAAGCTGTTTATACGTGAACTACACATGTGATTAGTTCTTGAGATATAAGATAATTTTATGACACCGTTCTTGCAATTAATCAAAGCATTAGAAGGAGGACGACTTCCAAAATTATCTTGAATGTTCTAATGACTCCCAAGTGCCAATGGAGTGCTTCTGGTACCTAGTTGAATTGTTAGGTTTAAGGGTCTAGTGTTGAGAAGAAAAGAGAAGAGTAAGAGGAAAGAGAAGCAATTATAATGAGGCTTAATGAGAATGAGAGTTAACTAAGCTCTTGTCCTTATTTGATGAACACACACAAGGGCATATTTTGAACATTCTTTACCCAACATCATACTGTAGTCGCAAAAGCCTAAGAAGATCAACAAGCCTTGGTCTAAGCACCACCTCCAAAAGGGCCTAATTCATAATAAGCTGCAAGCTACAATAATACCCTTAGTTAAAATATTCTAACATTCTACACATGCACTATCATAGGCAATTAAGCTCAAGCCCTGAATAGAGTGTACTTGCATTCATTTTCTTGTAGATTATGTAGAGCTTATGGTTTTGAGTTCATTGGTTTGGAGGGACATTGCCAAAGGAGCAGCTGATTAGCTTGAGTTTTTGGTTAAGCATGGCATTTGGCTGTGAAAAGTATCATAAGATGCTGAGACCCCTGTTCTCAACATATTTGATTTGTCATTACTGTCCACATCATATAAAATTAGGGTCTGACCTCTCTGAGTTTGATATAGAAGATTTAGTTTGCAATTTATTCATTCTCTTGTTCTCAATGCAGATGATGTGGGCCGCTGATTTTGACGAATCTTTGGCTTTTAATCTGGAAGAGAATTGCCTGGAACCATTGGTCATCCAGATTCCCAGGGAATCTGTTGCAGAAACAGAAGAAGAGAGATTTGAGAATGATCATGGTGGTTCAAATGGTGGGTTACAATCAAAGTATGGAAATGTGGAACGCTCCATCTGGGACAACACTGGAGTGAAATCATCATCAACGCATCCCCTTTGTGGCTTGACAAAGCCATTCTGGTCAAAGAATGATCGTTTGCAGATCTGTACTGTGGTGTCATCAACAAGGAAAGGTGATGACGAACTACCTGTTTTTTGCGTAGCAGCAATTCTTTTCATGAACCGGCAGAAAATCATGAGAGACACCCATTCAATTGATGATCTAATAAAGGCAGGTGGATTATACCGAATTTTCAGCTCTATGCTTGACCAACTAGTTGATTTTTGCACTACTGTGATTCTGTTGTCATATTTGGCTATATGAAACTGGGTGATGGGTAGGATCTGCTTTCTTCTAGTCATTATTGTGTGTAACTGTGTATGATATGCAATTGCCATGATGTAAGAATTATGCCAATCAGCTGCTGTGTTTATCTTAGCATTATTACTTCGTAAACTGAACAGTGCATCTTAGAGTCAAAATGTGAAACTGATTACAAAACTGGTATAGACTGCATGTTCAAGTCATGGCCTATTCCTAGAGGTGAAAATTTCATGCATAAACAATAATTTGTCATGAATCATTGTGGTTTATTTTTATTACTTTTAGTTTCACCCTTCTATACTACAACTGATGATAAAGGAACAGTCTCTTGTAATTTCTTTTGTGTTGAAATGCAAGTGCTTACTTGATCATGGGGTTGAGCCATACTTAAACCAGCATGAACTTGAAGGCCTTAACAGTAGAAGGTGTACCCTTGTATGTGTCTACTAGCCAAGTTCATTTGCTCTATTTGTTCACTTCTTCCCCATCATGAGTACAGCGTTAACCTTTTGTGTTTGGCTGCTTTGAAAAGCTTAATTGATTTAGAGGTTCATGTCTATCTTATTTCTAAGTTGGTATTTCACATTTCTCTCTCTCTCTCTCTGAGAATATGTAAGTTGTTTACTTAATTTCTTTTGGCATGGATGTAATTTTCTGTGGGTAGTTTGGAGCAGTAACTCATGGTCAACATGTTGCAGATGTTTAATGATAATTTACTCAAGATCAGGGTCAAGAGATGTGTGCGTACAGCCGTCAAACTCCGCAAGAAGTACTTCTACAAGGTTTCAAGCATTTTATGATTTTCTTGTTTTGCCATGCACAGTCGGTGTCTGTATGTTTTTTTAATATTGTTATGTTGGTTTTTTCCTGTTATTATATAACCCGCTTTAGACAAGTGGTGGAGATTCCAACTGGTCATGGTTGTAGAAAAGAGTGGTGGTGCCATGCATCAGCTTTATCTTCCTGTTCAGAACATGATTGTAAAAATTCTTGGACTTCAGCATATTTATTAATAAACAAGTTCATCTTGTTTAATTTGTTTCTAGCTTACAAGCATGTCCAAGGTAATAAATGTGATTTTTATTTCTATTTGGATTACCCATGTAACGTTGGTTCATGTTCAAACCAGATGGGCAATTGGACAGTGAAGATGTGATGTCATTATTTGATGGACATGTTTTTTAAGTAGGAAATTTTAATGGACATATGAGGCACCACTACCTGTTGTTCATAGCATCATCTAATTTGTACTCTTCCATAGATGCCTTTTCTGAGACTTGCTCCTGTCTGAAACCAGCTGATCAAGAGCAGGAGCTCAGAAGCTCAAGATGGTGACTAAGGTTGCTCTATTTTCTTATATAACAAAAGCTCAGCCATGGCTTACGGAGTTGGCACCTATGGCTCGATTTTAAGTTTGAGTGGCATGACAATGCTTTTTATCTTGATATGTTGGAGTTCATAGCAAAGGCTTATGCAATTTGAAGATTCACCCAATTGTTTGTATCTCCTAGTTCTCTTCCACCTCCAATCTCAGGTAATTAATGTCTTGTTCTGTCTTCCTTCAGATCAAATTATTAAA